TTCGACGACGCCACGTACAAGCTGCTGGCGACGCACGAAGACGCCTCGGCCGCCTTTTGAGCTCATGGTGGCGACCTTGCATGCTGTATATAAGAAGCAACAATACAACTTGTACTTTTGGTTGCTAGAAACGAAGTTGAAGAAGCGTCTTGAAGTGCACTAGGAGATAGCATAAGAACACCGTATCACGTAGCAGATTAGCGACGCCAGAAGACCGTGGTACGCTTGCGCCGTAGACGAGGAGGCTACACACAACTCAAAGTCGTAGTAGATATCTCGATCGTCGACTCGAGAGACGTGCCAAACCAACGAGCGAGACATGGAAAAACGTGCATATACTATAAAGCAATTCCCTGCGTCATGGCGCTCGTCCTGACGATCGCTGCCGTCACGGCCTGCTGAGGTCTCTAACATCTCTGTGTGGTTCGGGCATTAGGATGGCATGTGTCTTGCCGCCGTCAGTAGAGCGTGTCGACGTTGGCCGCGAGCGGTCGGTCACGAAGAAGAGGATAGGGCGATGAAAACCAGTGCAGCGCACGACGGCCGGCGCGAGTAGCCGCATGCAGGCTCGACATCGAGACACGATTCGAGCGTTGACAGGATGTACGTAGAGTGTGGCGGCAGCGACCAGAGCGTGGACGCGCCGTCGGATCGGATATGTGGCCGCAGCGCGAACCGTTCTGGACGCGCAAGCGCTTGACGTCGCGGCGGCCATGATGCTCTTCGACATATCGCTCGCAGCGTCGTCGCAGGTCTTGGGATCGCAGGTCTTGGGAGCTTGGAGGAGCGCATCTCGGAGGCGATCCCGTGGCCGAAGTGCGAGAGAGGCCGTCGAAAAACTGGCCAGGGCTCCGCCCAAGGGCCGACTCGGTGGCTCGTCACGCATAGATTGGCTGCGCCATACAACCTACAGCGACGTCGCGTGAGCGTCCCTGCCTGAGGCCTGCGCACGGCTTGCCACGTACCACGTGCCTGGGCTGGCGGCGATGCTCGGTTCGTGAACTGCGTATCTGCCGGTTGGCTCGAAAGCTTTGCCGCTCTGATTGGCCACAAATCAAACATCTTGTCGCGCTGATTGGCCACAAGTCGAAAGGCTTGTCGCTCGGATTGGCTGAAACGCCTTGGCCTTGGCGTCGACGAGAATGAGGGACGAGGAACGCTGCATTGCGACCGAGCGACACCTCAGATGGCGTAGAGAATGCTGATCAAGACTCCTCGAGCACAACGCAGCAGCGTCAGTGGTGCACGAGAAGCCTCGGCGTCGTCTTTCTGGCGTCGCCGGTCCTCATTATCTCATTATTGGCGTTCGCCAATTACAACCAGAACTACCATATTTTGGTCAAGACAGGCCCGCCGCGCCGGCGGAGCGACCAGAATGAAGTTTGAAAATGAAATCGCCCATACTTGCCAGAGTGCTAGACCACACTTTGGGGAGTCCAAAATGCTATGTGACGTCGCCGTGCGAGCTCTGTAGCGAGAACAAATGACAGCAGCATCCAATTTTCTGATATAGTGTACTTATTTTGATGTACTGAAATACTGTACGGGATACAAGCCTCATCACGCAGCGGTATCGCGCGCACTTTGCCTCCCTCATCCACATGCAACACGCTCTCTCACATGAACCAAAAGAGACAGCGTCCTCGGTTTCTGCGATTTCGACGCATTTTCAACCGAAATTGCATGTCGAATTTCCTGAAAACCGACGCTCGGCAGTTCATGTGAGTGTCCAAGCAACGACGGCGACCAACAAGCTGGTCGCACACCGGGTCGAAACCCATTGCCAACTGTGGCAGCCGGTTTTACGGTCCTTGGAGCTTTGGAACCCCGCGATATCACGTGGAGTAATTGGGCAATTCTGCCACCACCTCGAAAATGGAAATGGATTTCCGCGTGATTGCGCTACGTGCAGCGTCGGAAAGGACATGTACGTCATTCAACAAGTGTGGGAAGAGGTATACCCGGCTGCGACGTGGCGCTGGCGCGTCTGTGGGCTGCTACTCGTCGTTGTGCTGCATGGTGCTCACACTACTTGAAGGTCGTGAACCAAGTCTTGTGATTGGCTAAAAAGATCAAGAATGGAGCTAATTACAACACCAGATCGAGTTTCAAACCGAGTCCGCAAGCACAAGAAGTGGTGTGGACGCGCGCAAACATCAAGAAGATCCGGCGCGACGAGCGGCTGCACGAAGAGGCAGAGCGTGCTGCCTTGCGCGAGAAGCGCAAGCGGACCTCGACGGCCGCGTTGAGGCGCTCAAGAAGACCAAGCCGGCCATCGACCTCTTGACGAGACCGCGCCGCCGCCAGTCGCCGAAGCAGTACACAGACGACGGCATGGCGCTCGGCGGCGCGCTGAGCCCGGTCCACTGCCAGATAGGCCGACGCAAGCCGCCCTCGCAACCCTGCCCTCCAGCAGAACCAAGACGACAACGACGCCGCCGAGGCGCCACGTGCCCATGGCTGCCATCGTGAGCCGGCCCGTGGTGCTCATGGCCGTCGCCAACGATATGTTGGAAGTCGACGCGCTCGACTGTGCCGGTAACACGACGAACACGAAGCTCAAGAAGACGAGGAAAGCCAAGTCATCGTGGTCTTCGTCCAGCCGCCTCGAGCATCTTCGACGCGAGCGCGAGGCCGTCAAGCAGCGCCGACTCGAGACGCTCCTCCGGCGCGAACGCAGAGCTGCTCCATGTAGATATTTATATATGAAGGCAAACAACAATCGGTCGTGACCGTGGGCCTTTGTGATGAACAAGGTAGCATCCTTGTGTCGAGTTGCGTCCTCGATTAAGAACCCAGTACCCTGTCCTACCCTGCACCAGCAGCCAGATTCTTCCTCGACGTTCGCACTCGGGGTAGGTTTAGTTTGCTGTAAGCTTGTCAATCATCAATTCTCCACTTTCTTCTCGTTACCGCGCACTCATTTCGACGACGGATAACTTTATAGTTTGACCTGTTGACTGTCAAAGTGCTCTCCTGCAAGTCGAACTCGAACGATGAAATTCGCAACCTACGTAGTACCTTCTATCGTTCGCAGCGCAGACGACAGCACGGACCTCACAGCCATGGCGCAGAACATGGACCGTGCTGACCGAGGCGATCGTTGACGCTTGTTCTGGCGTCCCCACGCACGACGCTGTCAAATACTCCCGTGCATGTATGCGACAATCGTTCTGCATCGAGCGTACTGCTGTGTTGATTACCGCGAATAAACGTCTACGTTTCGTGTCGAAGTGTTGCGAGCGTGTTCGAAGCATAAGGATGGACCTTCTTGTTCTTGTTCGAACGGGGCGGTGGCTCTCCATATTCGAGGGGCGTGGTTCTTCTTCTTGTTCCACGTCGGCGGTCGACGATGATACGGTCTTTCACTTCTCCATTCATTGCCTTTCCATGAAGCTGCTCTGGGTTTGCGTCGCGGCCAACGCGATCGGGCTCTCGCTCGGCATGGACCTTCTGGCATCCGAAACGGCTCCGGTCGGCGCGAATCTCTTGGCGGCCGCGGCCACGAAGTGCACGCGTGACAACGACTGCCCGCAACTGACGTGCCACAGTACCTCGTGCAGTACCTTTGGATACTGCAAGTACACGCCACTGGGAGTGGGCGCCAAGTGCCCGGGCCAGAGCTGCACCAACGGGGCGCTTGCGACGACGACGCCAACGACTCGTGCAACGCCGACGCCGAATGCGTCGGTGCGTACAAGCCATCGGGTACGAAATGCCCGGGCAAGAGTTGCTCGAACGGCGGTGCTTGTGACGACGACGCCAACGATTATTGCGATGGCGGCGATACGTGCGTGAGTGCCTTCAAAAGCTCTTCGGCGGTGTGTCGATCGTCAGCCGGTGAGTGCGATGTAGCCGAGTATTGCACTGGTACGTCCGGCACGTGCCCCGTCGACGCCTTCGCCCCATCGACCATGACGTGCTCTGGCGCCAACAACCGCGGCGCATGTGACGGTCAAGATTTATGCGATGGGTTTGGACACTGTGTCGACGTGTACCTACCGTCGTCCACTGTCTGCCGAGCGTCGAAAGGCGAGTGTGACGTGGCTGAATCGTGCTCGGGCAAGTCCAGCCAATGCCCGCCGACACGTTCGCGCCGTCCACCACGACGTGCAAGGGCACGTCCAACGACAAGCTTTGCGATGGCGCCGATCGTTGTGACGGAATGGCAACTGCATTGACGTCTACCTACCGTCGTCGATCGTATGCCGACCGGCCAACGGCGACTGCGACGTGGCAGAGGTGTGCTCAGGCTCCAGTGGTTCCTGTCCTGCCGACGCATTCCAGTCTTCGTCGACCAAGTGCAGTGGCACGAGCAACAGTGGCGTCTGCGACGGTCAAGACATGTGCGACGGGTCCGGCAAATGCGTGGACAAGTACCTGCCGTCATCCAACGAGTGTCGGGCGTCCAAGGGCCCATGTGACGTCGCGGAGACTTGCACTGGTCAAGGCAGCGAGTGTCCGGTGGATACTTTTGCGCCGACGACGGCCAAGTGCACTGGCTCGAGCAACAGCGGAGCGTGTGACATTCAAGACTTCTGCGACGGCCAGGGCAACTGCGTCGACAAGTACTTGCCGTCAACGAGTGTCTGCCGGTCGTCCAAGAACCAATGTGATGTCGCCGAGATGTGTACCGGCTCCAGTGGCGCGTGCCCTGCCGACGCGTTTGCGCCGACGACGGCCACGTGCACCGGGACGTGCAATGGCAACGCCTGTGACGGTGTCGATCTCTGCGACGGGAAAGGAAACTGCATCGACGTCTACCTCCCGTCAACGACTGTGTGCCGAAAGGCTGCGAGCGACTGCGATGTTGCCGAGTCTTGCACCGGCAGTAGTGGTCAATGCCCCAGTGACAAGTTTGCGCCGACGACGGCCAAATGCACCGGGACGTGCAACGGAAACCCTTGTGATGCTCAGGATTTCTGCGACGGCAGCGGAAACTGCGTCGACAAGTACCTACCGTCGGACACAGTTTGCGGCACGACGGGTAACGCGTGCATCATCCCAGCGACATGCACGGGCGACATGGGGTTTTGCCCGCCCGATGACTACGCCGATTCGTCGGTCCCGTGCAGCGGCACGAGCAGCGGCAACGTTTGTGACGGTATTGATACTTGCGACGGGGAAGGCAGCTGCGTCGATCGCTTCTTGGGCGCCAGGACGGTGTGCCAGAAACCCACCGGCTACTCGCGTCCGATCTATTGCAACGGAAAGAGCGCAACGTGCCCTGTTGCCAAGTCCTTTTTGGAAGGCAACCTTCGCGAGATGACGGCCGACGACCAGGCGCCGGTGCAGTCGATGCTCGTGGCCGTGTCGCCGTCGTCGCCCATGGTGCTTCTCGGCCTCGTCTGTGTCGTCGCTGCCGCCGTCGCCATGGTCACGATGCGCCAGCGCCGCGACGAGCCCGCGTTCGACGACGCCACGTACAAGCTGCTGGCGACGCACGAAGACGCCTCGGCCGCCTTTTGAGCTCATGCTGACGACCTTGCATGCTGTATATGAGAAGCAACAATACAATTTGTACTTTTGGTTGCTATAAGAGAAGTTGAAGAAGCGTCTTGAAGTGCACTAGGAGATAGCATAAGAACACCGTATCACGTAGCAGATTAGCGACGCCACGCTTGCGCCGTAAACGAGGAGGCTACACACAACTCAAAGTCGTAGTAGATATCTCGATCGTCGACTCGAGAGACGTGTCAAACAAACGAGCGAGACATGGAAAAACGTGCATATACTATAAAGCAATTCTCTACGTCATGGCGCTCGTCCTGATGATCGCTGCCGTCACGGCCTGCTGAGGTTCCCAGCATCTCCGTGTGGCTCGGGCATTAGGATGCCGCCGTCAGTAGAGCGTGCCAACGTTGGCCGCGAGCTGTCGGCCACGAAGAAGAGGATATGGCAATGAATACGAGCGCAGCGCACGACGGCCGGTGCGAGTAGCCGCATGCAGGCTCGACGTCGAGACACGATTCGAGCGTTGACGGGATGTACGTACTAGTAGAGTGTGGCGGCAGCAACCAGAGCGTGGACGCGCCGTCGGATCGGATATGTGGCCGCAGCGCGAACCGTTCTGGACGCACAAGCGCTTGACGTCGCGGCGGTCGATGATGCTAGACATATATCGCTCGCAGCGTCGTCGTCGCAGGTCTTGGGAGCTTGGGGGAGCGCATCTCGGAGGCGATCCCGTGGCCGACGTGCGAGAGGCCGTGGCTCGTCACGCATAGATTGGCTGCGCCATACAACTACAGCGACGTCGCGTGAGCGTCCTGCTGAGGCTGCGCACGGCTTGCCACGTACCACGTGCCTGGGCTGGCGGCGCGCACGGCTTGCCACGTACCACGTGCCTGGGCTGGCGGGTTCGACAACTGCGGTCTGGATTGGCTCGAAATCTTTGTCGCGCTGATTGGCCACAAGTCGAAAGGCTTGTCGCTCGGATTGGCTGAAACGCCTTGGCCTTGGCGTCGATGAGAATGAGGGACGAGGAACGCTGCATTGCGACCGAGCGACACCTCAGATGGCGTAGAGAATGCTGATCAAGACTCCTCGAGCACAACGCAGCAGCGTCAGTGGTGCACGAGAAGCCTCGGCGTCGTCTTTCTGGCGTCGCCGGTCCTCATTATCTCATTATTGGCGTTCGCCAATTACAACCAGAACTACCATATTTTGGTCAAGACAGGCCCGCCGCGCCGGCGGAGCGACCAGAATGAAGTTTGAAAATGAAATCGCCCATACTTGCCAGAGTGCTAGACCACACTTTGGGGAGTCCAAAATGCTATGTGACGTCGCCGTGCGAGCTCTGTAGCGAGCGCAAATGACAGCGGCAAACAATTTTCTGATATAGTGTACTTATTTTGATGTACTGAAATACTGTACGGGATACAAGCCTCATCACGCAGCGGTATCGCGCGCACTTGGCCCCTCTCATCCACATGCAACACGCTCTCTCACATGAACCAAAAGAGACAGCGTCCACGGTTTCTGCGATTTCGACGCATTCTCAACCGAAATTGCATGTCGAATTTCCTGAAAACCGACGCTCGGCAGTTCATGTGAGTGTCCAAGCAACGACGGCGACCAACAAGCTGGTCGCACACCGGGTCGAGCGAGACCCATCGCCAACTGTGGCAGCCAGTTTCACAGTCCTTGGAGCTTTGGAACCCCGCGATATCACGTGGAGTAATTGGGCAATTCTGCCACCACCTCGAAAATGGAAAATGGATTTGCGCGTGATTGCTCGACGTGCAGCTTCGGAAACGACATTCACGTCATTCAAGAAGTGTGGGGAGAGGTATACCCGGCTGCGACGTGGCGCTGGCGCGTCTGTGGGCTGCTACTCGTCGTTGTGCTGCATGGTGCTCACACTACTTGGAGGTCGTGTACCAAGTCTTGTGATTGGCTAAAAAGAATCAAGAATGGAGCCAATTACAACCAGATCGAGTTCCAAACCAGCCGGACCCGCAAGCACAAGAAGTGACGCGCGCAAACATCAAGAAGGTCCGGCGCGACGAGCGGCTGCACGAAGAGGCAGAGCGCGCTGCCTTGCGCGAGAAGCGCAAGCGGACCTCGACGGCCGCGTTGAGGCGCTGAAGTAGACCAAGCCGGCCATCGACCTCTTGACGAGATCGCGCCGCCGCCAGTCGCCGAAGCAGTGCACAGACGACGGCCTTGCGCTCGGCGGCGCGCTGAGCCCGGTCCACTGCCAGATAGGCCGACGCAAGCCGCCCTCGCAACCCTGCCCTCCAGCAGAACCAAGACGACAACGACGCCACCGAGGCGCCCATGGCTGCGATCGTGAGCCGGCCCGTGGTGCTCATGGCCGCCGCCAACGATATGCGGGAAGCCGACGCGCTCGACTGTGCCTGTGACACGACGAACACGAAGCTCAAGAAGACGAAGAAAGCCAAGTCATCGTGGTCTTCCTCCAGCCGCCTCGAGCATCTTCGGCGCGAGCGCGAGGCCGTCAAGCAGCGCCGACTTGAGACGCTTCATTCGGCGCCAACGCAGAGCTGCTCCATGTAGATATATAAGAATACCTAATTGTTGACGACGACACCACTCGACTAGTTTAGGTCGATCGATGTAATCAACCGAGTTGCTTTGCTTCTCAGCGTGACAGGCTTGAGCTACCTCCACACTAGTTCGGGAGCAACATGGGGGCACGAGACAAAAAGAAGCGCCCGGGTTGATGCAGTTTGCAACGACTAGGCTTTGGTGCTATCCGTGTCCAGCACGGACCGTCGTCGCACGGCGCGCCGGGAGCCGGGCGACGTGATCTTTCCAATGAGGACGCCGAGCGGCTCGAGAAATGCGAGCATGTTGTACTTGTCCTGGACGGCGGCAAAGACGCACTTGCAGCGCTCGGACGCCGGCCGGGACGGACACACGTCTGCTTCGCCACCGCAGATGGTTTTTTCGTGCTTGGCAAACGCGATCTTGGTCAGAGCAAGGGTGAAGCTGGCGTAGTCGAGGCACTGTGACACGACAGCGCGGTCGTCGGGCCACACGGGTAGGCACGAGCAAAAGATGACGCTGGCTTGTACTTCCGAGAGCTTGGTGTCAATCTAACGCGATACTATAATTTCTCGAATGAGGATATCGAACGTACAATCTTAAAGTGGTTCAGAAAGCCGAGGTAGCTCTGAAACTTCATGAACGGCTGCGAGGACTGCGGCGTCGGACTTGGCGATTTGGACGTTGTCGCGTCGTGCGTCACCTGCGTCGCGTGCTGCAAGAACACCATTTCAAGGCCGATCTGGTGCACGGCAAACACTTGCTGCGCACTCTCGTGCTTGAAAAAGAGCTTGCAAAAGTGAGTTGGGTCGTCAACCGACGCGAACGGCAAGATAAAGTCATGGAGAAGATAGTAGACGCTCGTCGAGTCTTCAAGACCTTCTTTGGCCAATCGCTTGACGAGCCCCGCGACTTCGTCTGTTCACACGCATAAGAATACGTCAACGGGAGAAATGCTGCCGCTACCTCGCTTGAAGTATCCCAGAGCGACTTGCACGAGGAAGAGCAAGAAGCCCTGCCGGCTCGTTGGCTGGTCGTCTGCCACGTCGGATCAGATTTTAGTACGAAACGAATCATGTGTACTGATGCCGTGCCGCGCCGGCTCCGGTAGTGGCACGCTCAAGTCTTCGAGGATCTTGGCTTTTGCCGCGAGCTTGAACGGCTCCTATTGTACGCATTCTTTAGATGGATTCAAGTAGTCGTCGCCATATTGCACCCGATCGCTCCCGCCTTGCAGGCTTGCGTGGTATCGAAAGAGATGGAAGAGAATGCGGGCATGACTTCGCAGCAGCGCGCCAATGCGCTGCCGCTCGACGGCGTCTTTCACGACCTTGTCGACGCCCGAGACGGGCCAATCGACCTAGGTGTACGATACAATTAGTGTTCGATATACAAACGACAAGACAACGTCGAAACACGCGTGGTAGACGTTGCGCGGACAGGTTGTCATGTCGGGTGCGGACGCTTCGGCCTCCTCGGCGGCCGTTGATAGATCGCTGTTCGGAGCGTCGCTCTGGTCGTCGCTGCTCAGTGTCGAGTGCGTGTCGGACACGGTGTCAAGCACCACGCGAGGTGGCCTCGACGAGACTTGACGCTGCAGCGGCGCGGGCTCGACGCTATTGCTTGGAACCGCGTCTTGACCGATGCTGTAGACTTGCCGGTTGTAAAAGTGATACCAGCGCTTGTCAAACTTCTTTTTGGCCGGCGCCGCCGACTTGGGATGGAGAATTTCATGGACTTGGTTGTACACAAGGTCGTCGTGCACGTTGGTTGCCGTCGGGAGGCTCTTGGCGAGACGGTGGAGCGCCGCCCGCGCGTACTTTTCTCGCACCGAAATGCTCCGCAGCATGGGCACGTGGTAGCCGCGCATTGGCGGCTCGGCGGGCGGCGTCGCCTTGGTATACCGTGCGTCTTCTTCGTCCATGAGCTCATGAATGCGCTTGCTCGTCGGCGTGAGGTCCCGTTGGTACGGCGACCGCGCGCGCATTCGTCCTGTCTGGGCAACACGCCAAAAATAGGAGCCATGCACATCCCAGTAGAGAGATGAGTAGAGAGATGGATAGATAGATAGATAGATAGATAGATAGATAGATAGATAGATAGATAGATAGATAGATAGATAGATAGATAGATAGATAGTCTTGTATTTGACTGTCATATTGAAAGGGTGCAAGGGTAGCCCTGTTTATGGAGCCTATCTGGTCACGTGCAGAAGGCCTTTTTAATCTTTTGCGCGGGAACTCGGCAGGGGGCTCCGCTCTCTCTATTGCTGTTTAGTAGTACGATTAAATACTTGTCTCGAATGTAGAGGGGAGTCAAACTCGTGGAATTCAAGGCAGAATGCAAGTTTATATGAAATTACAAAAGTTGTCGTTTCCAGAACGAAGCGCGAGGCTTCTCACGGCGTCAAAAGAGGGGTGCTGCCTACAGCAATGGCTGGTAGTGACTGTTGTCTTCGTACATTTCCTGCTCGCGGCGTTCGCGGTGGCGGCGTAGCGACCGCCGGACGACCGCCACGCCGAGTACCAGAACCACGAGCGCGCACCCAGTAACCAGCGGCACCATGTTGGTCTTGAGCAAAGCGATGCCGCGGTCGGTAAGCGCCAGCGACGTCGGCGGCGCCGGCGCAGTGTCCCAAAAGTCGCCGCA